ATCCTGCAAGGAAAAAGAAATAATATAAGAAGATTTTTTAGGTAAAATTTTTCCTTCACTCTACTTCTCTTCTCTACACTCACCTTTTTCAAATTTGCCACTTTCAAATTTTCATTACTACTTGCAAAATATCCTTTTCAACTCCAACAGATTCATTTCCAATTGTTCTTGTCTCCTTAAAACATTCTTCTTCAAAGTTTCTTTTTATGGCCTTCATTTTCTCCCATTCTTCTATGCGTGACTTAAGGGTCGCTTGACATTCATTGACTTGACTTGGAAGCATAAGAGCCAATATGATTTTCCTTCATTGACGTTGGAAGTAATATTCATTGGAAAATCCATCATGAGTGGCCTTCTTTTCAAATTGCCAAGGCCGTCCTAATATAATGTGGCTTGCACTCATGGGCACCACATCACAAAGAACTTCATCCTTGTATCTTCCAATTGAGAAAAGAGACAACAACTTGTTTGGTTACCTTTGTTTCCCCCACATCATTGAGCCACTGAAGTTTGTAAGGATGATGATGCTTGGAAGTCTTTAGGCCCAACTTTTCCACCATGTGAGTACTTGCTACATTTGTACAACTTTCTCCATCAATGATTACCAAACAAACTTTATCTCCTACGTGACATTTTGTATGGAAAATATTTTCTCTTTTTTCATCTTCTTGACTTTGAATGTTCAAAGTCCTTTTAACTACAAAGATGTTGGATGGAAGAGACATGTTAGCAAATAAAAACAAGGAAATGTGTATAGGACCTTACCAATAATGCTCTCACAAAGCCTCACGAGTTCACTCCAAGGAAACTTGAATGTCACTCAATCCGCTTGATTTTGCACTCTAGGACTTCAAGACATTTACTAGTCCTCTTCTAGTCTCCCACGCTCAAGCCTTTTTCCTCTCAATCTCTTTATCTCGAGTTCTAAGTAACTTTACTCAAAACTATACCAAGTAAAGTTTACTTGTTGTGCGTCGGCTGTAAAAGGATTAGTAGTAATGGAAAGAAAAATATAATGAAAAAGGTGGCTTAGAAATAAGGAAGAAGAGAATAAAGGGGTTACTTACACAAAGTCACTTCACAACCTTTCTATCACCACAATAAATTTTAGAGGCTTACTTGAATGGCTTGGTGATGAGACTTGTTGTTTGTGTGCTTTCAACTTTTCTTGTTGTTTGTGTGCTTTCAACTTTTCTTGTTGTTCTATTCTTTTTCTTCTTTTTGTTTTCTTCTTTTGAGTGCTTGCAATTTTCTTTGCTGATTTTTTATTTCTTTCACTTGCACTTCTTTTTGTATTTTTGTTGTTGTTGTTGCACATTGCTTCTTCCACCAAAGCTCTGAATACCATTTTATGTAAGGTACTCCTACCTTTTTAATTGAACGTGGATTTAGGAAGGAAGCAAAACAACCTGCATAAGTGAATGGCTCAAATAGATGGTTTGATGGTAGATTTAAAGGTGAAATGGTAGGCTATTTATGTTAAGAGAAATGGTAGCGGAAGTATGTTGTTATGGCTATGGTTTAGGTGATGAAATAATGTAAGGTTGGTGAGGATAGTATCTTAGAATGACCAAGGAAGAACCAGTGCTATAAAGAGCAAAGACCCAGCCTTATAAATCTTTCTAAGGGGTGGTAACAAGGACTTGGACCCACTATCTATAGGGAGATAGGAACCATAAGTATCAAGGAAAAAGGATTGACGCCACAAGTAATTAAATTACTTGATAAGTCGATAAAAGTCACAAGGACTTAAGAAAAGAGAATAATCTCACTTTAAATTATATGAAAGTTGTGTATACAAATGAAATAGAACTAGCCTATTTATAGTTTTTAAAGGGACTTGGTCGAATGGGTACATGGTGGTTCGGCCAGCCCTTGTGTCCCTTTATAATGACATAATTAATTAATTAATAACATGAAAAATATAGGTGCTAGTTTGGTTGGAATAGAGGGGTATGTCTTATGGCCGAATAGCACTTGAATCCCTTCAAGTTGGCGCCAATTTGGATGAGAAATGATGCTTGGTCGAATGGTGAGGTTGTCAAATCATCTTGGCGCCTAAATGGAGTCACACGCATAGCACATGGCCTGGCTGATCACAAGGAATGCACATGGCTCTCTAGGATGCTTGTGGTGCATTCTTATGCATATGATGAAGACCAAGCATGGGCAGTAGCCTTAGGTGTGAGTTGAGTTTCCTTCAAGCTTGCATATGCCTAACTAGCTAGCAACGTAAAGGCTGATGGTGAATGATCTCCTTAGCCGTGACCTCGCAAGCTTCATATCCGCATATTCAACTGCATTCAGCTATAATTGATGTCACTTTTAGCAACTTATCTTCAAATAGTCCAACTAGTTGAGATTAACTAGCCTTGAGCTCCTCCAGTTGAGTTGAGCTTTCCATAGTGCTCCACGAGCTGCCATGATGCTTATGAGCTGCATGTGGCTTTCAAATACTCCACCAAGCTGTCCCAATGTATGCCATGCTCCAATGTACCTACATGTGCAAAGAAAATAGGGTAATTCAATGGCATTGAGCTTGTATGAGCTAATTACCTTGCTGTCGTGCATGATAATGATCTTGTGAGCTATGAATGCATGACATGAGCTAAGTATATCATCATATAATATATGTAAGCTAATGTATAAGGTCTAAGAGCTAAAATGAATGCACATGAGCTAACAAATGAATAATAAGCATGGTGCCATTTCATAAATGTAATGAATCATGCTTAAATGGATGCAAGATTAATCTAACATACTTATAACATTATGTATCAATCATAAAGATGTGGGTATTTGTTGTATGCATGAATATCATATAACATGGTATTCATAATAAATGATAAATGGAAACATGTAATAATAATATCCTAAGAAATTATATGTAATCATAGCATATGTTTGAATGATATGAAAGACATGATCAACTAAGCATAGGATGGAAATAATAATATGATAATTTATACTAACATGTGAATGCATGCTTATGATAGAATCGAATGTATAAATGATATAATATAAGATAAGGCAATGAAGAACTCCCTAGAAACAACAGTGAAAAACGTCCATGGAATAATCAACTTATGGAGAATGGTGGTCATGATCATGCATGTATCAACCTTGGGTCAGGGAGCATGTGGTTTGTTAGACACCTGAACTTTGACCTCTTGCTTACGTGGCAATACATGGTAGGTTAATAATTACATGACAACTTGCCCATTGGATCTAGACTCTCGCATTTTTCTTTCATGGGCTAAAGTCCCTGAATTTCATACCATTTCTAATTTAGTCCAACTCCCTATAACTTCCTCAATTCTTTTAATTTGATCCCTTTATTTTTATATTCACATTAATCCTAGAATTTAGCATTTTTTACTTAATCTCTAAATATGAATTTAATTAAAATTTAAAATGTATGATGGAATTAAAAAATTTGATAATTAAATTAAAAAAAATCAAATTCAGTGATTAAATATCACTTTATTTCCTTACTTTATTAAGAAAAAAATCCAAAACCATCTTTTTACAACGTTAGTTTACCAAATTAAGCCAGTCAACCCATGTAAAAGAAGAAGAAGACAAAGAGCAACCTTGTCCATAAAGTTAAAAACTGAAACTTTTTTAATGCTTTGATCGAATAAAAAACTTTGCTTTGAATTCTTTTTCATTTCTTTTTCCATCTTTGCAACAAGAAGCACCAAGAAAGGAAGAAAAAAGAGAGAGAAAGGTAATGGTTTATAGAGTCAATCATTGGGGATGGCTAATAATATTTCTATCACATCTATTTTTTTTTTCTTGTTTTTCTCTGAACAAAGTGTTTTTTATAAAATGTTTTTGTTCGTATATCGGTTTATGCTATCTTCTCGTCAGATACTAATGGTTGATTCCAGTGTAATGGTGTGTGTGCAACTTGAAATGAGCCGTTTTCAATCCCAGCTGTTCTATTTGTAGCAAAGTTGTTGTTGTTGGAGGTGATGGGACAATTGACCCATCAGCATCAGTTATATAATGTGACTAGATACACTTTTCAATAGTTTCTTCATTTGTTTTCCTTTTGAATTTTATGCACAATATCTGTTTGTTGTTATTTTTCTTTACATGTACTTCAAATGTGTAAACTTTACACCAGAAATGTTCACCAAGAATTTAACTTTTTGAAAACAAAAGAATAAAAGTTTTTAAAAAGGTGATGGTGGAGTAGAATAAAACTTTTTGAACTATCTGTTTCTTATGTTTTGGTTGGTTGAAAGAAACTTCCCTGGTGAGTGTACAATTCGGAAGAAAAAGGTAATCCGTTCAGTTGTCAGAATCTTGGTATTAATTGCGGGTGTTCTTTCAATATATGTCGATTTCTACAGTAAATGTGAACTGCTTTTTAGGTTTTGAATAGTGAGACAGCAAAGAATCTTAGGTTAGGTTTTTTTTTTTGTTTTCTCGTTAGTCCTATTTCTAGACTTGAAATTCTTGAGATTACCAAATTATTGATTACTGGGTAGGAATCTTGAATGAGAATTATAAAGAAAAATCATATATTTCTTCTGAAGAAACCTTTTGAATTGATCTATTTTGGTATCATTAAAAGTTCCTTTTAGGAATTTTGTTTCCTCTGTGTTACTATTCCAAGAAATTCTTTTGCTTATTGTTTAAAGCGTTTTTTCCCGTATAAAACAGTGAAATGAATCTTCAAGCACCTCATAGGTGCAACTTGTACTTTTGAGTGTTTTAATTGATCTTTTTTTCCCTTTTTGGTCTGATTTCAACTTGAGTGGGAGATCGATTTACTGCAAATTTTTAATCGTTTTGGATTTATTGAACACTTAAATATTCATATCCAATATCTTCTTCCCTAAAATTTAAATATTCTATCGGATCTGTTGTTAGTGAAATCCACTACTGAAATAATCCTCGAACCAATCTTAAAAATCCATGATTTTGGATATGCATTAAAAGCTTATTCGGTTCATTCTTCCTGCAAGTGATATTCTAGACAAGCCTAGATGTCTTTGGATGAGCCTGGCAATAGCTCCGAGTGGAGTGGGGAGCAAGATAAGGCATTTGAAAATGCCCTTGCAACTTATCCCGAGGACTGTTCTGACCGGTGGGAGAAAATTGCTGCTGCTGTACCTGGTAAAACTTTGGAAGAGATTAAAGAACATTATGAGATTCTAGTGGATAACGTTAACCGGATTGAATCTGGCTTTATGCCTCTCCCTCTTTATGATTCTGCTGACAGTTCAGTGGGTCATGCTGGTAGTGAAGGAACGGGTAAGAAAGGAAATAGCAATTTAGGGCATAATAACAATGTGTCAAACCATGGGGTTATGAGTTCGAGGTCCGATCAGAAGCGTCGCAAGGGGACTGCTTGGACGGAGGAGGAGCACAGGTGAATTAGTTCTACTCGTTTAGATTTTTTATTTTGATTGACATATGCTCCTTCTCTTTTGCCCTTGGGAACTTTACTACTTAGTTTTCTTCATACTTTATATTTCGTAACAATGTGCATTTATTATATTTTGGATTCGTGCATCCCATCCGTATTTAGAATCTTTATTTGACAAAAATGTTCACAGAAAATGCTTTCCACCTTTTCATCATTTTGTTTGTCGCTTATTGTTAGTTAGGAAGATTAGATCTTGAACGGTTTTCCTACTTCTGTGCGTTATTCTGAAGCTTTTGACGTCTGTTTGTCAGTAGATGGCCAGTAGATGATGAACATATCCTGAAATGATGTGAAGTAATTGAAGTGAAAACCGAATTTCAATGTTACCACGTGGAAGATATATCGTTTTCTATCTTCCACAAAATTATATCCCGAAAGAGAATAATTATGCTATCATTACATCTTACCTGTGTGACACTTGTGGCTGTTATAGGTTAACCGTTTTATCATCTCGCGCGTGCTAAACAACCATATATAGCCTAAATTTTGACTTAAAACCAGTATTTTTGGTTTTATATCTTTTTGCTGGCATATGTCTTTCGTGTTCAACATGCCGTTTTGGTATAACCGTTTTTGGTTTTATTAGTGAAGTGCTTGCCAAAATTTGGTTCTAATATGGAAGACAAGGGACAACTTGAGAAGGTTTATGGTAGAAAATGAACTTTTCACCAGGCTACCGTATAGGAAAAGAATTTATGAAAATAATTATGGCATATAAGATTTATTTCATCCTTCAAGTCACGTAAAATGACGCTCAGGTTATATAGCTACGTAGGCTTTGCTGGGCGATTTGGTTCACATATCACTTGCATTAAGGTGGAAAACCATGCCTTTCCGAGTAAGAACTATTTATGATACATTTCTGATATATATGCCTGTACTCTACTGTGATGATTTCATTTGATGGTTCCTGTGTGAGTTATAGATGCTGTGTTTGTGCTTAAAGTTTAATTGTGCTCTTTCTTGTAATTTAAATGGTGGTGAATTTTGCATGCACTACATATAACCTCATTTGGGGTATAACGTTGCTACCTGATACCGTTGAAGAGGCATGGTGTCTTTTTGTCCCATAACATACAGAACGTATTAATCCGCTTTAATTTGTCTGTAATGCCTGATTCTAACCCATAGGAAATGTTCATAAGCCAGGATAACTCGCACTCAAGAAAGTGCTTATTGTTTTATGAATGATCTTTATTGTTATTCTATGAATTTTGAGATGTATTTTGATATTCATTTGACCGATAAGTTTTCATATTATAATTATAATTATTTTTATCTTGGAAAGCAGATTATTTCTTCTTGGTTTAGAAAAATATGGGAAAGGTGACTGGCGAAGCATATCCCGGAACTATGTGGTCTCAAGAACACCAATACAAGTGGCAAGTCATGCGCAAAAGTATTTCATTCGATTGAACTCAATGAACAAAGACCGGAGGCGATCTAGCATCCACGATATCACCAGTGTTGGAAATGGAGATATTTCAGCACCCCAAGGACCGATCATTGGTCAATCGACTGGTGCTGCTGCTGGAGATTTGTCTGGAAAATCAGCGAAACAAACCCCCCTACATCCTGCTGCACCAGCTGGTTTTGGTGTGTGTGGTGCCTCAACTATAGGGCAACCAATAGGAGGCCCCCTTGTCTCAGCGGTTGGCACGCCATTGAATCTTCTCGGCCCGACCCATATGGCTTATGGAGTGAGAGCTCCTGTACCTGGAGCAGTGGTTCCTGGAACTCCGGTGAACATGGGTCCTGCAACATACCCAATGCCGCATGCATCCTCTCATAGGTAATGTGTTGTTTAGGTGCCAAATGTACAAAAGGACAGAAGATGACTATCTTGTGCAGATATCGGTTAACGGATTTTCCAATTTAGCCTGAATAAGATTTGCTTATTTGCAAGCACAAACAAGTTTGTCTGTCGTTTGCTTAATCTTATTAAGCCATAGGGATAGTGTTTACATGAATGTGTATAGGCAACTCTGGAAAAGGGAACTGTTAAATATTGCAGAAGTAGAAACAGCATTTTGACACCTTTTTCTTTCCTCATCCATTTTCTGATGCACACATCTGCATTAGAATTAGTCAATGCTCAGAAGTTTCATGGAAATTGTGTTTATAAAGAAAAAAAACCCAACCACCCTAACTTATTTTGCTATTATGAGCAGCATATCTGATAAAATTTCAAATCACTTGGTTCTTCAGTTCAGTTAGCAGGTATCAATTACCAAAGTCATACTATGGGTTGGGTATATATTCTTTAAGCTTTGACAAAAATAAGCCATGGATTCCTTTCTTGCTAAGCAAAAGCTTTATTATCTGCAAGCTGATTTCCACCTAAGATAAGCTATGGTTCATTGCCTTTTCAAAAGAGGTTTTCTTCTAGTTATAAATGGGACCGTTGCCTTGGTCATATTAAGAAAGTTTGCTTAATGGTTTCTCATGATCATTTGTTTGAAGGGGGAAATGCATAAAAAAAGGTAAAGAAAATGATCTTAACTGCACTTTTTTTTAAAAAAAAGAAGAAATTACCCTTTTATTGTAAAATGACATGGAATACCAAGAACTACCCTTTTAGATTGAATCAAACTTGAAAGAATTCCCAAGAACATTGGAGAGAGCTGCTAGTGGTGCTCTCTTTAAACTCTGTTTTAAAACAGAAAGATGAAGGGGTGGGTGGAGGTTGTCGCTTTCTAAAATTTTAAAATTATCACATGTTTTAGATATTTTCTATGTTTTTTCTATTAATAATCTGTTTTCAGCCTTTAAAATTTTATAAATTCAGCCCACAACATAAAATCTTGTGCTCCTTCTTGCACATGGCTGACATGACATTTTCAGAAAATGATCCATCGTCAATGACTGCATTATCATATCTTTCTCACCATGCAATTTGCTTCCCAAATCTCATCTTTCCTTTCTTATGTTTGTATTAAAGCAGTTGCAGACATCAGAAAGCTACAATGCCAACTCAGAAAGCTTGAAATCTAGTCATCTTTTCTTTACCTTTAATCTTTTTTGATGCGCAATAGCATGCAAACAAAAAAGTTGGGTACAACACCTCTTTAAATACCATAAGCCAAAAAAATTCATCTATCATCACAAAATCACATCTCTTCCTTGATCATAGAAGCTGAAAGAGAGAAAGATTTCCATCTCATTCTTCAGAAAATGAAGAATCAGATACTTGACAAGTCATTGGAGTTCCAATGAAATCAGCATTGTATCAAATTGAGAGAACGCCAAGACGATACTTACCAGACGCAGCTGGCCAGTACCGTATTCCACCAGCTGCTGAAGGGTCTAACAAATTTATAAAAGGTAGAAGCTCCCTTTTAATCTGTGATGGGTTTAGATATTCATAATGATGATGTTTTTGGTAATGAGAAAGTTTTGGTAATCACAGGCAAAGGAAATTTGATGAAAAAACTTGGGAAGAAAGCTGATACTTTCGCACATGGAGTCAGGGAACATGGTATGAAACACTCTAAACACACATATATATGTATCAAGATCGAAATGAAATGAAAACTAAAGGCATTTTTGAAACTGCAGTGAGATCGGGACCAAAGATCAGTGAAACTCTGAAGAGAAAGTTTAGTTTGGGAGAAAGAATTCTTCAAGTTGGAGGGATGGATAAGATATTCAAACAATTATTTAGTATCAAAGAAGGAGAGATGCTGTTGAAGGCATGCCAATGCTATTTATCAACAACAGCAGGTCCTATAGCTGGTTTACTTTTCATCTCATCTCAAAAGGTTGCCTTTTGCAGTGACAGAGCGATCAAGATCCCGAATGGCGAATTCCTCAGAGTCCATTACAAGGTTTTGATTCCACTTGAGAAAATAAAGGTGCTTAATGAGAGCGAAAACATGAAGAAACCATCACAGAAGTACATGGAGATTGTGACGGTAGATGATTTCGAGTTCTCGTTTATGGGGTTCTTGAATTACCAGAAAGCTTTCAAATACCTTCAGCAAGCAATCTCCCAAAGACTAATGCATGATGTACTACAAGTCACTTTCTAGGTGGCTTACAATTGTAATTTCCACTGTTTCATCATATTATTTTTGTTGGTGAAATCTGGAAAAATCAACAGTTTTACATAATGTCAAAATATTTTCATTCCATTGAAATCCATGAGCAAATATACGAGGCAATCAAACGTTGTCACCGGTGTCGGCTACCCAAAAATTCCATGCACCCACTTTTTTGCCGCCACCCTATGAACCAAAAATTGTCATGTTATTACCAACACTTAATGCCAACATGCCATGAAGTGGGGAATGGTACTAAGTTCCATTGGTATATTCCTTTAAGCTTTCAGAAAAACAAGCCGCGGATTCCTTTTAGGTTAATTAATAGCTTAGCTTTATTTTCCATAGTTTAATGACAAAAATTAGGTAATATTTAATCTGCATGTTCATTTCCACCTCAGATAAGCTACACTTCATTGTCTTTTCAGAAGAGGTTTCTTATGGTCATAGATGGACCATCATCTTGGTCATATTTACAAGTTTCTGAATGATCAAATGGTGAAGAAATAAGACAGGCCAAAGAGAATCACACAAAAATCCTGGGAATTCTTTTAAGTACCTAATTAATTTAGAAACTTCAAACTATTTTTAGCTGTTTACTATCAAATGACACAAATACTATTTGCATTGAACTCCGGACTAAACCTTGTGTTTACGCCATTCTGTTCTCACAACCGGTCTTAAAAAGCACTCTTTGCATGTGCTTTCCTTTTTTATCTTCATCCATTATCTTATTTTGTTATAAAAAAACCCCTTAAAATGATTTGGAATATTGTTGATGGGAAAATAATGTTTGTCAAAGATTTGGACGTCTTGTCCATTTTGATTTAGATAGAAGTCACAGTTAATAATTTGAAAAAGAAGATAAAGATGATAATCTGAAAGAAAAATTGAACAATTGAGAGAATTTAGATTGAGAGAGAAAAGAGAGTCCCCTTTTTATGTTGCATGAGAGTTTATAAGTCTCCTCTTAATATTAGTGTTAGTCTAAGAGTGATGATGACTATTTATAAATTGGGCGAATGTATAGACATGATTATCGTTTAATAAATTTACTTGACGATAGAGTTGACATAAGTCAGATTAAGCATTCCAAGAATCGCAACGATTCCAAGAATCGCAATGCATTTGTTTCTTAAAAATTTTCTCTAAAAAGATAGTATCCGCGCGGACGTGTCGAAGACACGTATTACCACGACCACGACCACGACCCGAGACGAGACGGCGGCGGCGGCGCGCGAGAGTCCCCCTTGTTCTCTTTCACTCAACAAGGAAATGAGAAATCCAAGCCTTAAATACACTTCCCAATAGTGTTTCCAATACTATGTGGGATTGAACATTACCAACAACCTTCACATGTCAACCTATTTTGTGTGCTTAATTTGACTGTGCCATTCACTAAAATTGTTGGAGATTAGTTCATTTGAAGAAGTGTAACTAATAAACCATAAGCCAAGTAAATTGCTTTTATTTGTCGTGAAATGATGTCCCTGCAACCTTTGGTGGAACTTTGGACCTTGTAATAAACTTGAACTATGCTTCCAGTTCCATCCAGTAGAGAATTTAAAATCATAACTTGTAACTTTATCTCCAATATCACAAAGCAACAAAAAATCTACAAGAAATTGATCAGCTATGAGGAGAGTCTTGAATGTAGAATTGTTGTGTATAAATCCACATGTATGCATAACCGAGTAGAAATTATATTTGTATACGGCAACCCACCCTTTTTCACTAAACAAAACAATTTTGGCATACCAAATGAACTAATCTCTCTTATAGTCACACTCAAGCTCTTAGCAAAATAGGTTGACATGTGAAGATTGTTGGTAATGTTCAATCCCACATAGTATTGGAAACACTATTGGGAAGTGTATTTAAGGTTTGAATTTCTCATTTCCTTGTTGAGTGAAAGAGAACAAGGGGGACTCTCGCGCTCCGCCGCCGCCGCCGTCTCGTGGTCGTGGTCGTGGTCGTGGTCGTGGTCGTGGTCGTGGTCGTGGTCGTGGTCGTGGTCGTGGTCGTGGTAATACGTGTCTTCGACACGTCCGCGCGGATACTATCTTTTTAGAGAAAATTCTTAAGAAACAAATGCAATACGAACAGCTCTACTGCTTTTGAGATTTTCTTTTGCCGTTTTGCGATTCTTGGAATCGCGTTGCGATTTTCTCAATCGCATTGCGATTCCTGGAATCGCGTTGCGATTTTCTCAATCGCGTTGCGATTCTTTGAATCGCATTGCGATTCTTGGAAGATCGCGTTGCGATTTTTTTTTGACCGTTGCGATTTTCTTTTCAACATTGCGATTTTCTAAATCGCGTTGCGATTTTTGTTTCGCATTGCGATTTTGTTGGTCATTTTGGCAAATCCAAAAAAAGTTGATTAAAATCGTATATTATAAGACATTTTTGGTCACTGAGGCGATTTTCTCTTTCAAAAAACATAAAACTTTAAAAATTTAATAAATAGATAATTGATAACAGAAATACGGTTTACTAAAAAAAATCTAAAAGAAATACAACAAATATCTAGATTTACTCCTTAAAATTGAAATCCAAACTTGAAAGAGTTCCCAATAACACTGGATAGAGCTAGAAGTATAGCTACTTACCAGGGTCGATTCACGGCAGTGGACGACTGATCTGGAGTTTTTATACCTGAAAGCTTTCTTTCTTCACCAACCGTTATCGATAATGATGATAGACACGCTAAGGGCACCAAACAATTGCGCACGATGAGGGGAACCACGTGGTGTCGGCGATGATAGCCACAATAGTCAGGAAGGCGACAAAACTGAACAAAAATAATGAACCATTAGAGAGATACATATAATTTAAACTTTAAAAATAGGGGAAGAACGAAAGCCAAAATTGAAATTGGTATATGTTGTTCATTGTTAGGTGCATTTGTCATGCTCATGATTTGTGTTGCTCGTTCATGTTTTTCATGACATTGTTTGCCACAACATTTAGATAGACAAATAATTGCTGAGACTTTGCATTTACTTATGATGAGATAATTCTCGATAGCAACCTAATACCGAGAATCTTAGAATTTAAATATAACTTGAGATTGTCTTAATGATTGTTATGATGCTCTAATTATTTACTGAATTTCGTGCCTGGTTTACTTATGAGTATTTTGGAGAATATTTAGTTATTGTATTTTTTAAAAATAAAACAAATACAAAAAAATTTGTTTAAGTTCTGTGTGAACTGCTAGAGGTGCCCAACTGGCTCTAGCCGAATAAATTATTCACAACAAGCTTTTAGCTCTAGGACACTCCGCTGCTAAGGCAAGTTTGGTACGTTTAGTTAATACTAAGTAGAAAAGATAGTCTCGAATAGTATGACTGAATGAAAATTATCACGAGATGACTCTACCTAAAAGGTTAGGGGGTTCGTTGTCGACAACATCTTACTACTCATGTATTAGCATGTAGTTGTGATGAGTTGAAGCTCTAGTTAAGCAAAATAGTAATTGTTGTGACATTTTTTGCTTTATTATCACTTTGATAATTATGATATTCTCTGCAAATACATATGTGGTGAACTATCACGACTAAGAGCACACACATGCACAAGATTATAAGTTGATTTCTTTTTGTCTTGAGATTCGAAGGTGATTGGTATAAAATTGCTAAAGTTCTGAGGTGACAGGTGCAAGACAAGTGTAAGGGTTATGTTGACTAATTGATGAGGGTAAGTTGTTATCAAGCATTTATCATAGGGCGCGAACTTGTGGGCAAGGCTGGCCTACATCAGACTACCCGTGGGGCCGCGACCAGCACGAGGTAGGCTGCTCCCACTGTGGGGGCCGAGATTAACACCCATTAGGGCACAAAAGACGCAACCCAGGCGGCTCAAAAGGACCACGCTGAGACCAAGGCGGACATCGTGCCTCAAAGGTCAAGACACGCCCACCCCAAACTACCTACAAGCAAGACCTACACATGTCTAGCACCGCCCAGGGCCGAGGCTGTCGCACACCAATGGTCGCTTAGGGCCGAGGTCACCGCACACCAAGGGTCATCTAGGGTCGAGGCCGACACATGTCAAGGGCTCTAACCAGCACACAACGGGTTGCACTAAGGGCTGGGGCCAACGCACATCGGGTGTGTGCCTAGAACCGAGATGAGAGCACAAAGGGGGCCACTGAGGGGCGAGGGTAGCGCACATTGGGGCAAACAGGGCTGAGGCCTGCGCACATTGCGAGTGCATTGAAGGCCAATGCCAGTACCAACTTAAAGCCTATCCACCTAGCAAAGTCGACTATTACTTGGAAAAATAAGAAAAGTAGCATAGTCCTTGAATGTAACAAGTTCTACTTAGAGTTTTACTTGTAGTTAAACTAGGAGTAATCATTTAATGTAAGGAGACTTCACTATAAAAGGAGGCCTCCCCACCTCCATTGGATATAGATAGTTTTTGTATGAATAAACCCAGGCATCTATGCCAAAAATTTCCTCTACATACTCTTACTTACGTTTCTCAATGTTTTCCCATCGTACTTATCGCCATAACAACATTAATCGAGAAGTTTAGGCTAACTTAGAAGTCGAGTGATCGAGCAAGGCATTTAAGGGATACACAGACCAGCTAGCTAGCAATTTAGCCTCGTGACGAGTGGTACCAGATCAAGGTTCGTCGTTGGATGAGATGGCTTCATAACGCAACGAAGCAATTGGATAAGAGTGAGTAGTTTTTCTCATATCGTTCCAAGGTAAGATCGCTAAACTTGAAGACTCCGTAAGGGAGGATAAGGAGGTGTTGGATCAATTGGAAACCATCAACCTAGAAAAGCTAGGGTCCCTAGATCTCGAGAAGCTTAAAGCCTTGGAGAATATTCAAGAGGATGTGCAGGGTGCACTCAATGGATTAGATGTGAAGAGTTCCAAACAAGATTATACCTTGGAAGCTGTAATCCTAGCATTAACATAAGAGGTTGAAGAACTTAAAAACCAGGGTTTCAGAACCGATGTCAATAACCTGAAGAAATAG